TCAAGTTCAAACTTCACACACACATGGTACATCATGTCACAAATAGATATGTGCATTTGTTTCATGATCCGCTTAACAATAGCTGAATGATGGCCATTTTAAGGCCGAAAATGCGTCAAAATCACGTATTTTCACAATTCTGGAACCTGATCTCAGTCATGCATGGATGGATTTTGTTCAGATTTAGAACAATGTGTTGTACATATGCAGGTGCATTTCGGTCATGATCTGCTTTGAATGTATATGTCGCTCAAATATGAACTGAATGGGGACGTGTCATTGACAATGACTTGTATCTATATGGATAAAGCATATGGATATAGCATATGAATTTTATGACCCCTTGATACTGTCCTGATTGACTACTTCTCTTGCATTATAACTCAAATTTAAAAAAAAAAAATGTTGAAAGCTGAAAGTGCCAATAAATATAATGGATAGAAAATGGTAGTTGGTGATCATAGTCTCTGGTGAGTTTTGGGGACTGGCTGTTCAGTGTAATATCCTAATATTTTGTATCCAAATCCTGATCTTACCATGGAAAAGATGTACTGTAATTTGACATGTGACTAGAATTTACCATGCATTGTCCCATGTGACTGTCCCTTTACCATACATTGTCTTTGTGACTGTCCCTTTACCATACATTGTCCTTGTGATTGTCCCCTTACCATACATTGTCCTCGTGATTGTCCCTTACCATACATTGCCTCTTACCATACATTGTCCTTGTGACTGTTCTTTTACCATACATTGTCCTTGTGATTGTTCTATTACCATACATTGTCTTGTGACTGTCCCCTTACCATACATTGTCATTGTGACTGTCCCCTTACCATACATTGTCATTGTCCCTTACCATGCATTGTCCTTGTGATTGTCCCTTACCATACATTGCCCTTGTGACTGCCCCTTACCATACATTGTTCTTGTGACTGTACCTTACCATACACTGTCCTTGTTTTTGTCCATTACCATACATTGTCCTTGTTTTTGTCCCTTACCATACATTTTCCTTGTGATTGCCCCCTCATCATACATT